TTCTAAAATTGTTCGGTGCAAGCTTTTGTCCGTATTTCGGTTCCTTATTCCGCAACAACTGTTTTTTTTTCGATTGTTTTTTTGCTATTTTTCTTAGTTCTTAGTTTCTTTTGCTCCTTCGTTTTATCCTCATTTTCTTTCGTCATTCCTTTCTCAGTCTGTCGATATTGCCTGTTGTGCGATGGCGATGTGTCGTTACTTCTTGTCTTTCATGGTTTTACGTTTTACCACCAACCGTCCACTATTCTAGGGCTTGTGATCTTGTTTATCTCTTTTGATCAAACTCAACATTAGATAAATCGTTTATAGTGCTGATTAGTACGAATGAATTCGATTGGGAATGATCTCAAGTCACATGCTATTTAAAATTTTCAGTGGGTAACGTTCTGAGAGCATGCTCTGTCTACCTTATGAAGAAAAACAGACTGAATGGATCGAATTGGGTCTGACTGACTTGTTACTCTCAGCGTTCTTCGTTAGCTACATTGAGCGACCACTTTGTCGATTATGTATGTTGTTTAGATGTACTACTGGGCAAATAACCTGGTTGTTTTCAAATATCAATGCAACACAAGGATGTAAATCACGTTCCTGTACAAGCATACATGTATAGTTATCGCGCCCATTGTTTACCATGAATTGACTGACAAAAAACGTGTTTGAGGAATGTATATTTTATATTGTTGCAAGTATGAATCTTTAAATATTACGCTTACGATAGCACAATTATGATTCAGCACTTAAGTGAGAAGACCCGGGGGCAGTTTCGAATACGCTGTGTATCTGTGATGATAAATGCATTACCTGAGGTATGAGATGAACATGCAACATGTTCGCTTGGAAAAATTTAACGGAGACAAAGTACAAATTCCACTCAATCAAAGACGTCCTCCTAAGAAGCGCCGAGTTTTTCAATTCTACTGTCCTGCAGGCGCTGTTGTATGGCTGTGAGATATTGTCGCTTAACAGAAAACTGAAACCGAAGAACGCCAACTATCTGTCACCGAAAGAGCTATGGATAGAAGAATGTTTGGATTTTCATGTCGCGACTGCGTCTCCAACACGATGATCAGACGATGGAAGGGAGTGATGGATATTGTCATCGCAGAAAGGAGAAGCTAAGGTTGACCGGTTCTGTAACTCTCTCCTGGTAAGAGATGGTCGTCGTTGATCGTTGAATGGCATTCTGGCAGGCGAACTAGATCGCTTGGTCGCCGGCCACGATAGTTGAAGGGTTATATACATCAAAAACCAAAAACTGCACGTTTGGAGGAGGAAGGCTCAAAATGTACAGGAATGTTGAATGTATTGCCACTGGAACGATTTGTCACAGATTTCCCGTCATTCAAGGGATCTAAGTGAAATGATTTCTTGCTGCTAATCATGGAATCAGAAGACCTGTCTACTTCAAGCTCTCCTTAATCCGGTCATCTTTTTCTTCAGAACGGTCATATGGGGAGGATGGACAAAAGATAGAAAAAACTTTTCACGGTTAGAATATACGTTTTCATTGCACTTTCATGATGTAACTGAATTAATTCACAGATAATCAACATATTGCAATGCTTGAAGTTGGTGGTGGGACGCTAATCTCGTTGTCATGGCATCAGCTTGAAATGCCTTTTTTCAAAATCAGAGTTGACAACAGTAATGTGGCAGTGTGTAACATCCTGTTTCTTTCATACAGAGTAGTGCTGATGTATCAAAGTCAAAAGGAAGAAAAACGAGTGACTCGATCGGGCGTGGAACGCAGAGTTTCTGTTCTGATTAGTCGCTCTACCAGCTTAGCAACTCTGACCTAGTTTGAGGAACTTTAAGAACGATGCCTGCAGGGTTCATGATTTGAGGGTTCAGAGTACCTAAGTGAGATTTAACAGGGAAGTTTTGCTCATTTGTTCAAGCGTTGAAGTATGCAGTAGTTCCAAGCTCTGTCTTTGCTTTTGAAAACAGATATTTAGCCGTTGCACTGATGAAAAAAGTGAAATCGAGGAAAACAAAGCATTGTAGCTTTGTGCGAAGAAGTGATAAAATGCCTGGTTGGGTATCACAGTTCTTTGCCGGAAGTTTCCTTCCGTGTTTTTATAACGAGTCTTCAGGGTGCGATCGTGAAGGGTGAT